GGAGGTGGACAGGAGCAGAGGTGACGACCATAGGAATGTGAGGCACCAGCTGGCCACAGCCTGGTGACTCCATACCATTTAAAAAGGGCTTTATTATTAACCCTTGGAGCTGGCAAGCAGCATCTGGCCCTCCTCTGGCTACATAAGCTACATGAATCTACAGAACCCCAGGGCCCAGAGTAAAACCTACCACCTGAGGGAAGTTTTGGTGACAGTGGTGGTTTAACCTGCACTAATCTCTCCAGCATGCAGGGAGCACAACCCCTTCTTAGAGTAACTAGGGGAATAGCTTGGAGAAGAGATTCCTGGACTGTAGCTCAAGGAGGAAATCCTGCCTCGCCCACCAGGAGGTACAAGATGCCAGAGAACTTGTCAGACTTTCCCCACAGCCTGGGAACACAGCCACACAGTCAGCCAGCTGCCATGCCACAGTCAGTACTGGCCACAGACACTCACCTGTCCAAGCCCCACTTGACCAAGTCCCAGCTGCTTTTGGCTTCCAAACAGTGATCCTTCCATTTCCTAGAGAGATTCAGCAGGGTCTCCTGCAGCTCCCCAATCCTGTAAACCAGTCAGAGCTGAAAAGAACAGACTAATACCAGCTGCCTTTCCCTGGCTCAGCTTCTGCTTCCACTGAGCTCTGATTGTTAGTATGAGTCATGAGCTCAGTGCTGTCTAAGATGCAAAGAATCCTGTCCCACAGAGCTACCAAGGTAAGCAACAGGACATGCTTTGGTGCTGGCTTAGGGAAGGAAGTGGTTAGGGAAGCTGGGGAAGTTTTTAAAAATAATAGTATCCTCCTAAGAAGCAGCTAGCTTTGGAAGCATTCAGGTGGAATGCTGGGGAAAAGGCATGGCTGCTTTAGTGTCTTCTCCTGGCCTGCAGGGCATAGGCACCAGTGGCAGTGGTAGCTCAGTGGCTCCTGTCTGTGACTGGAATCCCCACCTCAGCAACCGCCATCCCAGCCCACCCCTATTCCAAAATGACCTCAACAAACAAGAGCCCAGGGTGGTGATGCTCAAGGATGAGCTCTCAAGAGCACAGGCTGCGTAGGGTTAGATGCATGTTCCACATCTGGCACAAATCAGGGCTGGGGCCATCGAGTGCCAGCAACAAGTATGCAAACCTGGGACATGAGGCAACCCCAGACTAGTGATTTCCTTTCTACAGGTGGACCCTGCCTTGGAAAAGTACTTCCCTCCTATGCAGAACCCCAGATTAGGACCCTCCCTGCTGCTCTGCACTGGAGTTTCATAGTAGGTAGGGTCGGAAGGGACCTGAGCAGATCATCAAGTCTGACCCCCTGCCATGGCAGGAAAGAGTACTGGGGTCAGATGACCTCGGCTAGGTGTCTATATAGGCGCCTTTTGAAGACCCCCACGGTAGGAGCGAGCACCACTTCCCTTGGAAGTTGGTTCCAGATCCTAGCTGCCCTGACTGTGAAGTAGTGCCTCCTGACGTCTCGCCTGAACCTACTCTCAGTCAACTTGTGGCTGTTATTCCTAATTACTCCTGGTAGTGCTCAGGGGAACAGAGACTTTCCTACTGCTCGCTGGTCCCCCCTTGTAAGTTTATAGACAGCCACTAGATCCCCTCTCAGCCTTCTCTTGAGGAGGCTGAACAGGTTCAGGTCCCGTAGCCTCTCCTCGTAGGGCTTGCCCTGCTGCATCCTGACCATGCAAGTGGCTCTCCTTTGGACCCTCTCAATGCTGTCCACATCCCTCCTGAAGTGCAGTGTCCAGAACTGGATGCAGTACTCCAACTGTGGCCTGACCAATGTTGCATAGAGGGGGAGGATTGGACCTGCTCGTGATGCATCTGTGGATGCATGACAAAGGTGCAGTTAGCCTTACTGACCACTTCCTCACATTGGCAGCCCATGTTCATCTTGGAATCAGTGACGACTCCAAGATCCTTTTCTGCCTCTGTGCTGATGAGAAGGGAGTTTCCCCAGTCTGTAGGTATGCTGCTGGTTCTCTCTCCCTAGGTGCAATACCCTGCACTTGTCAGTATTGAATCCCATCTTGTTCTCATCCGCCCACCCCTGTAACCTGTCCAGATCTAGTTGTAGCCTGTCCTTCCCTTCTAGCGTGCCCACTTCTCCCCACATCTTAGTGTCATCCATGAATTTGAACAAGGTGCTTTTCACCCCCTTGTCCAAGACGCTGATGAAGATGTTAAATAGTGCAGGCCCAATGACCGAGCCCTGGGGGACCCCACTGCCCACATCCCTCCAGGTCAAATAAGACCTGTCCACTACCACTCTCTGGGTGCAGCCCTCCAGCCAACTGGTGACCCATCTGACTGTATAGGCATCAACGCCACAGTCACCTAATTTTTTAACGAGCATGGGGTGAGAGACTGTGTCGAAGGTCTTCCTAAAGTCTTGAAAGACTACGTCCACTTCGACACCTGAATCCAAGGATTTTGTGACCTGGTTGTAGAAGACCACCAGGTTGGTCTGACAGGACCCTCCCCTAATGAACCCATGTTGGTCACCCCTAAACATAATCTCCCCTGCTGGTCCCTCGCACATGTACTCCTGGGTAATTTTCTCAAAGAGCTTCTCTAGGACCAAGGTAAGACTAATGGGCCTGTAGTTTCCCAGGTCCTCCTTCCTCCCCTTTTTGAAAATGGGGACCACATTGTGTCGAGCTCTCTTTCCCTTCTGGTCAGCAGCTGGCAAAGGGGGGGTCAAGGGAAGGCAAGTCTCACCTGTGCGTGTAGCCAGCCACATCAGACACAGTGGTGGAGAGATCAATGAGCTGGCTGAAGCAGCTGATGAGGTAGATGGAAACAAAGGCGTTCTGTGGGAGAAACACACACCCAAGGTAGCACAGAGCTCAGGCAGCAGTGACCAGGGTGGAAGCTGCTGTGCCTACCTCCACCACCAGCAAGCAGTGATGGAGTCCATGCTCAGGCATGGGCAGCAGCCACAAGAAGGTACAGAAGTAGGATTCGATAGTCAGTCAGGCTCCAGAAAAGATGACCCAATACAGGAAAGATGACCATGAAGGGAGCAGCATATTCCAGAACCTGAGAAGAACTCCCCCTACTTCAGCCCAGGAACCTCTGGCACCTCCATCATTCCTGCCTACCCCCTCCAGCCCACTGTCCTTAGACTGCAGAACAGAATCAGCTTATTGCAAATGCAGAGGGAATGCAGTGACCAGCACAGAGGTAGAAGTCAGGGAACAGAAGGTCCTGGGGATCACTTTGCACCTGCCAAAAAAACTCCTTACATGTGGACTAGCTCTTCCCACCTGACCCCGTAACAATCCCAGCTCTCAAGAACCAGCCAGTACCGCAAGAGTCAAGGCCTTTACAACCTTTAAATGTAAGCATGTGCATCTCAGACAGCACTGAGCTCCAATTGTTAGTATAAGTCATGAGCTCAGTGCTGTCTAAGATGCAAAGAATCCTGTCCCACAGAGCTACCAGAGCCCTACCAGAGAAGGTGGATAAACAAGCTGCAGCTGTTTACAGCTAGTCCATCCTTAAGTCCTGTTAAGTCCTGTCAGGCAATACTGCGACCCCTGCCAGTGCTGGGGTCAGTGCCCTTTCCAGGATTCATGATGACCAACTCCCGGCCGCTGCCCTGGGAGACGGCTGCTGCTCTCTGACAGCTCTGTTTGCTTTGCAGCCTGGAATTCTGGGTGGACTATTTTTAAACACATTACCAGCCTCAAGCAGGTTTTGACCAGCTGGAAACATGTCCGGTTCTGGACAGCCCTCTCTAGGGTTTTAGTAAAGCAACAAATGCATAGGAGAGTTCAGGTTTCTAGCCAGTACAAACACAGGAACATATACAGAACACAAAATCTGGTCAAGGGGGGTAGCTGCTGTTTCACAGTTTCTAGGGTCAGAAGGGACCTGAGCAGATCATCAAGTCTGACCCCCTGCCATGGCAGGAAAGAGTACTGGGGTCAAATGACCCTAGCAAGGTGTACAGCTAGCCTCCTCTTAAAGACCCGCAGGGTAGGAGCCAGCACCACTTCTCTTGGAAGTTGGTTCCAGATCCTAGCCGCCCTGACCATGAAGTAGTGCCTCCTGATATCTAGCCTAAATCTACCCTCTGCCAGCTTGTGACCGTTATTCCTCGTTACTCCTAGTAGTGCTCGGGGGAACAGGGACTTCCCCAGTGCCTGCTGGTCCCCTCTGACTAGTTGTAACAGGCCACTAGATCTCCCCTCAGCCTTCTCTTGTGAAGGCCGAACAGGTTCAGGTCCCATAGCCTCTCCTCGTAGGGTCTGCCCTGCTGCCCGCTGACCATGCCAGTGGCCCTCCTCTGGACCCTCTCCATGTTGTCCACATCCCTCTTGAAGTGTGTGTGTGCCGGTTGTTCCTCCCCAGGTGCTGTGGTTTGTTCAATCAGCAGGAGGAGTGAGCTTGACTGTGTGAGCCCCAGTCTGGTGCTTACTAGCTCAGCAGAACCTGGCTTTTCATTCAAAGTATCAAGTTCCAAGCTGGTATACAGGTACTCACAGAACTAACCCTCCAGAGATGCATAAACTCCTTGGTGCTGATCACATGCCTCAGGTTAAATCACACATCTAAAAGTTTGCTGGCTCAGGGCTCCCTTCTCTCCTTCTTGCAAGAAAATTTCAGGAGACTATCTGCACTCAGCCAGGACCCCTGAGGGTCACCCACCTTTTCTGTCTCCAGGCCCTGCCCTCCCACTGTGTGCTGCTTGCTCTGCTCTCAATGCCAGCAGACAGGACTCCAGCCCCTTCCAGATATTACTTTGACTGTACTCAGCCCCACCGAGCCTCATGACTTGGCCAGTCTGTGCTACTTTTCTCTGGCTGCTTGTGATACAACGTGGGCCCTGCCCTCAGAGATTATACTGTGCTCACCTTGCTGACCAGGCTGCTCAGTTCTGTTGGAGTCAGGTCTCCATATACACCACTGAAGATAGGAATGGCAATCACCACGTAGCTCAGGATGCTGCCCAGATAGTCAAAGGTGTTGATCCCAACTGGATACAAAACACATTAGCCGGAGCAGTGAGCACCCTCTATCCCAGGCAAATCCATATCCAGTTTCTGGGCCTAGTCAGAGCAGTCAGAGTTATTACCCTGCAGAGACTCCCAATCATCCTCCCTCTCCCACAGACCAACACAAGAGACAGTGCTGAAAGCCAGAGGAACTCCTATTGTAGGAGAGCCCAAGAGCAGGGATGAGTAGCCATCTGCCATCATGTAGCTTCCCCAGGCATCAGAGCAGGAAACAGCCACCCAGGTACCATCACTCACACACTAGGGCATCGTGGTAGGGCAAAACCTGGCCAGCCATGCATGGATGCAGGAAGGAGTATTGAGGGAATCTAGGTGGTACAGAACACCAAATTGCCCAGAGCTCTCAGGATTTCACCCTGACTTGCAGCACTAAAGGACCAGCTTGGGTGTGGCTGAAGCTGCAATCAAGTATTCCAGGAAGCACAGGAGTGACAGGATTTTCAGGCTGTGCCAATCCTGGAGGGACAAACTCTGCTCAGATAAGTCCTTGGTGCAGCTCCTGCTCAAGCCCTCATACCCCTAAAGCAGTCCCCAGCCTCCACATGCAAATCTGAAATACTGCTCTCAACTTTAGAGCCTGGATTCCATTTTTTGCATTAGTATTCCAATTTAACCAGTTCCCTCCTTTCCACCCTTTCATTCTTCCATGAGATCTCATATGGGCATGCCATGTGTGCTGAACTTGTTTGGTTATAGGGCATGGGGTCTGACAGCCAGGGGTAGACCCAGCACTGCTGTATGTTTGTCTGTCCCTTGGGAGCCATTCGCCAACCTGATGAAGCTGCCAGATGCCTCTCCACTTACTGTACAAGCACAGCTCCTTGCCCATCAGCTCCCTCTGTGTCTGCAGGAGGCTCTGTAGCCTGCGGTCTGTGCGCACGTGCTCCACCCGCCCAGCTCTGCAACACAAGACAGAAGCAAGCCATGAATCTGCACAAGGCCATTAATGAGCTGGAGACCTGCAGAGTGATGAGAATGTTACAGACTCCAGGATGGACGGCTGGAAAATGTCCATCCCCACAGACTCTGGGCAGTGATTCCAGGGCAGGGCAGGCAAGGCCAGGCACTAAACACCCATGGTGAGACCCTTGGCAGAAGCAGGAAGTTCTAAAAAACCCTCTTCCAGCCTTCTTGGTGTCTGGATTAGACCTGAAGAGCTAGAAACACAGTTAAGTTATGACACCAAGGCCTGATACCTGAATAGTGCAGGTACTTATTCTACCTTAGCAAAACACCTTCTTGGAATCAGAGGCTGCTATGCTCCTGGAGTGAGAAAGGGGAGCAAGGTGGTAAACTGAGGAGGCAAAGGGCAGCCTGTTCTCTTGAAACCTGTTCTGTAACCCAGAAGCCTCAGCCTGGCTGTTCCCCTGCATCTATCGCTATACTGGGGCTGAAATGACCTGGTTACTGGTCTCCTTGTGCATGGATAGTTTGCCTCTGGTCTTCAAGCCTTCCACCTCTCATCCAAGCAAAACCCTGAAAGTATTTTAAATCTAGTTTCCACTTTCCTAAAACTGCCTGACAAGTCTGATGTCAAGACCCAAGGTCCTCTCCAACCCCTGCTTTAGGAAGCATTAACCTCATCACAGTCACTGCCATACTGTCAGATCTGCACACCTCCCAATACAACTAGAAAAATATGACCTTTGTACCAGAAAGCTCAATTCATGCACTAAAATGCCTCATTTTAAATCTGAGAGAAATGTTTCTCCTGATTCATAAAGTTTACAGCACCCCCAAGTGGCAAGAAGCAGAAAAGGCTGAAATATTTACTTTTTGAACACAGGCTGTATATATCCAGAACATCTAAGCTCAGTGGTTCTCAACATTTGGAGCTCAAGGCACCCCTCTTTAGATCCAAGGCACCTGTTGAAAAATGCCAGCTCTTTGCTTTCACTTTTTTCTTTGGCTACAGAAAACTAATAGAGCAATTCGTTTGTTGTAAAGAACTCAGAATGACCACACAGTTCAGAATGTTTTTGACATTATGGATTCCTATTGGAAACTTCTGGGTTTATCTTGTGAATCATGCATAAGTGTTGGCATACCTAACAGTGCTAATATTGTGCAGCACCCCACAACACCCCTAAAAGGATCACCCCAACATGCCATAACACCTTGGTTCAGAGTCACTGTTCTAGATGATTTTCTACCTCCAGCACATCTCTGCCTGGTGCCCTATGGAAGTGGCAGTGCAAGCAGGGTGCAGGTTTTATTGTGGCAATTACAGTCTAATACTGCTCAGACCAGGCCTACATGATGCAGCAGTGAAGACCCCAGTGATCAGAATACGCTACCACTCTTACTAGCAACATAAGGAACTAGACTGGGGACATATTTTTCTGTTACATAAAATAATTCAAATTAAATTTAATTTGAATTATATCTTAAAAACAAACAAGCATATTTCAAATTAATTTCAAAATCATCACAATTCACGTTCAGGTTCCAACCTGATATGACAAATTAAAATAAATATTCAAACAAACTTCCAACTTTCAAAGAAAGTTGAGCCACTGAACTGGTGCAAGGCACTGACTAAACACCTAGACCCAGAGTCTTTTTGCTGAAGTGCAAAACCATCTTCTGACATCCTTTGCCTCTTCTACTAAGAACATTTTCTTTGCCTCAGTTCAATGCTATGTATGACTCATTCGCTCAAAGCTGAGAAACCAACTGGAAGATAAAGCAGAGAAGCTCATTTTTTCCCCTTCAAATCAAAGAATAAAAATGAGTGGATGTGATATATCCATCCTATCACCCTGATGGATAATAACTACAAAAAAACCCTACATTTCCTTTTGTTCAAAAAAATCAGTGAATTTACCTTTTCCCTCCTCTTTATATCCAGCATTTTAAGGTAATTTAACTAATAAGTTTAAAAACTATTATGTTGGTACATAATTTTAATTGAATTCCAATTTCCATCCAACACAGCCTGACAAAAAATCGTAAGCAGGGTAGTTAAATAAATTAGAAACTCATTATCCACTACTTTCTACTATAATACAGTATGTAAAAATTAAGGATCACAGTAAGAGTATGATTATCTTTATTATTGCATATAGCAGTAGGGAATCCTGTCAGCAAAAATAGGATGAGACTGAAGGGGGAAAAAAATGAACTTTTTTTTTTTTTTTAAAAGAAAAATAATCACAAAGCACAACTGCAAAACAAAAGCAAAATCAGCAATTTAAATCAATTCACCCTGATAGGGATTAGAACAGCAGTGGGAGGAGTATTAAAAGTTCTCACTGCAGACCATGCCAGTGAGCCATGTGCACAGTGTAGGTGGGGGATTGCTGGAAGCTGGACCAGCCCCTGGTGTTTGTTTCCTTCACATAACTCTATCTCCCAGCACTCAGGCTAGATGATTAACATCTAGCTGCCCACAATCAAGCCCTCCACTCCAGACCACATCAAGGAGGGAACAGCCATTCTTATTAAATGCCTTAGATCTAAAAGAGATGGGTGAGGAGCGGGTGAATGAAATTTATGGGGAACAGTGAGCTGGGAGCTGCTGTGGACACTGTACAGCACAGGGCAAAAGCAGCCTATGAAGGGACACACTATTCTGGGCACCTCAGTCAGACTGAAGAACATAGTACGGGGAACAGCCACAAAAACAATGTTGGTAGGGGAAAGGAAAGGGGGGGCAGGGACCTGAGCTGGTGGGAAAAACAGTACTATCAGCTGCGCTAACACTAAAGAAGAACAGGACAATACCTACCTGAAGGAGAGGGATCGTTGGTGTAGTACAGTGAAACAGAAATCAAAAAGGGGAACTGAGCCTGGAGATGGTGTGTGGCGAAGCACTAGAACATGGTCTGTGGGTCCCAGGACAATTCTGCTCTGGATGGTGTGAGGGTAGGTTGTTCCTCCCCAGCTTGCATGACTGTAACACATCTAGTTGTGCTAATGCAGGGCCAGAGAACTGTCTGTTAAAGGAGGCTGCACAGCCTCTGGGATTACAGCTGGAAGAGGCATATGGAAGGACTAGGGTCAGGGTTTTTCAACCTTTTTGGGTCAGTATACCCCCGGTGGCTGGACACGGAGCAAGGGAGGGGGGTAAAGGGTGGCATGCGGCCAAATGTAGAGTGGCAGCAGTGCAGGACTGTGCATGGCAGTGCTGTCCCCGCCCACTCAAGTGTACCCCCTAGGGCCTTCTCAAGTACTCCAAGCTGACAACCCCTGGACTAAGTCAAATGAGCAGTAGCAGCAACTCAGAGGGGAACAGGGATGGGGCAGCAGGTGATGCACTTCCCTAAGTGTTTTGGGAGGTTGGAGCTGAGCAGTTATCTTCATGCCTGGAAGACAGATGGATGCATCCTTCACTCACCTGTAAAAAGCTGCTGGTTCTGCATTGACACGAATCTGCATGTGCTTGAACCTGCACAACCCAAAGCAAAACATGAGGATCTGTATGGAACCCCCACTGGGCTGGAGAATGAATATCCCCACCAGAGAAAGACCATCCGGCTCCTGCCACAGCACCAACCCTAGAGTCCTAGAGGATACAGGAAATGGTCTGGATGGGTCTGGAGCATTAAGCATGGGCCAGCAAAACCCTGAAAAATGTGCAGGTACCATCATCCCAGACCAGCCTAAATGTCCACATATTTTGATAACCTGCACATACTCTGCAGCCAAGGGCATCCCACCACCTGGCACAGCAGAGTTTCCCAGTTCCTGTTTGCTAGCCCAGGGTCTCTACCATTAGTTCACCCCAGTGGTATAAGAACACAGCAGTCTGGTATCCCCACATTGCACCAGATCACTAGTTGGTACATCTAGATGCTGGACACTTCAGTGGAAACTGTAAAATCCTTCCAGTGCACCTGGTCAGAGATCCAGCAATTTCATGGATGGGGCAGAAAATAAGAGAATGCCTGAAGCACAGAGAATGAAAAAACGTATGATTGGGAACAATTTCAGCCATATCATGAAAGTTATGTGGATTCAGGTCATGGTGGTGGAGAAACAGGAGCTGTACAGGTCTTAGGCACCATGCTGACTGATTAACAAACTTGGACGAAGATCTCTTCTAAACGCAGCTCTGTGCACCTTGTGCTCCATAGCTTTCAATGCATTAGGAGAGGCACCAGCAGCAGCAGAGATGGGTAAATGAATAATGGTGGAAAATTAGAACACCAGAGGCTCAGGGACACTACCTGGTCCAGTTAGCAGACTGGGACTCGTTGACTGAATTCAGATCGCACTGAGCAGATATGGCTTGATGAGATTGAGTCCAGTGGGCTGGTTGTGGGAACTAAGGCTATGAGGAAAGTTGCTGGCAATTAAGAGGGAACATAATAACCATCTTCAAATATCTGAAGACCTCCCATAAGACATAGGGAAACATCTTTTCTCATCTCACAAAGAGCAGAACATGGACCGATGGCTGGAAGCTGCAGCAAAGTCAGGAAGGCCAAAGCACAATTGGAGTTGCAGCTAGTGAGGGATGTGAAGGGTAATAAGAAAGGTTTCTACAAATATGTCAGTAGCAAGAGGAGAATCAGGGAAAGTGTGGGTCCCTTACTGAATGGGGGAGGCAACCTTGTGACAGAGGATGAAGAAAAAGCTGAAGTGCTCAATGTCTTTTTTGCTTCAGTCTTCACAGGCAAGTTCAGCTCCCAGACTACTGTGTCGGGCAGCACAGTTCAGGGAGCAGGTAAGCAGCCCTCAGTAGCGAAAGAACAGGTTAGGGACTACTTAAAAAAGCTGGATGTGTACAGGTCCATGGGGCCAGATGGGATGTACCTGAGGGTTCTGAGGGAGTTGCCTTGTGTGACTCCAGAGCCATTGGCCATCATCTTTGAAAACTCATGGCGATCAGGAGAGGTCCCAGATGATTCGAAAAGGGCAAATATAGTGTCCATATTTAAGAAAGGGGAAAAGGAGGATCCAGGGAACTACAGACCAGTCAGCCTCACTTTAGACCCTGGAAAAATCATGGAGCAGACCCTCAAGGAATCCATTTCTAAGTACCTGGAGGAGAAAAAGGTGATTAGGAACAGTCAACCTGACCAACCTGATTGCCTTCTATAACAAGATGACTGGCTCTGTGGATGCAGGGAGACCAGTAGTTGTGGTGTACCGTGATTTTATCAAGGCTTTTGATATGATCTCCCACAGCATTCTTGCAGGCAAGCTAAGGAAGTATGGGCTGGATGAATGGACTGTAAGATGGACAGAAAACTGGCTAGATCATCAGGCTCAGAGTAGTAATCAATGGCTCGCTGTCTAGTTGGCAGCTGGTATCAAGTGGAGCGCTCCAGGGGTCGGTCCTGGGGCCGGTTTGGTTAATGTCTTTATCAACAACCTGGAAGATGGCATAGAGTACGCCCTCAGCAAGCCTACAGATGAGACCAAGCTGGGGCGAGTGGTAGAGACACTGGAGGGTAGAGCTAGGATTCAGAGTGACCTTGACAAATTGGAGAATTGGGCCAAAAGGAATCTCATGAGGTTCAACAAGGACAAATGCAAAGTCCTGCACTTAGGATGGAACAATCCCACGTACACTACAGGCTGGGGATTGACTGGCTGGGCAGCAGTTCTGCAGAAAAGGATCTAGGGGATATAGTGGACAATAAATTGAATATAAGCTAGCAGTGTGCCCTTGTTGCCAAGAAGTCTAATGGCATACTGGGCTGCATTGGTAGTTGTGTTGCCAGTAGGTCAAAGGAAGTGATTATTCCCCTCTATTCAGCACTGGTGAGCCCATATCTGGAGTACTGTGTTCAGTTTTGGGCCCCCCACTACAGAAAGGATGTGGACAAATTGGAGAGTCCAACAGAAGGCAACAAAATGGTGAGGGGGCTGGGGGACATGACTGATGTGGAAAGACTGAGGGAACTGGGAACTGGGGTGATTTAGTCTAGAGAAGAGGAGACTGAGAGGGGACTTAATAGCAGCTTTCAACTACCTGAAGGGGGTTTGAAAGAGGATGGAGCTAGACTGTTCTCTGACGGCAGATGACAAAACAAGGAGCAACAGTCTCAAGCTGCAACAAGGGAAGTTTAGGTTAGATATGAGGAAGAATTTTCTCACTAGGAGGATAGTAAAACACTGTAACAGGTTACCCAGAGAGATGGTGGAATCTCCATCCTTGGAGGTTTCTAAGACCTGACTAGACAAATCTTTGGCTGGGACGATCTAGCTAGGGATGGTCCTGCTTTGACCTCCTGAGGTCCCTTCCAACCATAACTTCCTATAATTCTATGATTCAAAGTAAGTTCAGACTGGATATCAGGAAACCTGTTAGTACAGCACAACAGTGGCACTTACTGGCTAGGGAATGTATGGAATCTCCATCATTGGAGGTTTTCAAGAGGAGACTGGATAAGCATTACTCAAGGTGCTCTGTAAAGGAGAACAGGTGGAAGCCCAGGAGCTCTCCCAAAACTCTTCCCACAGATGACTGGGAGATTGAGAGAAGAGCTCTGCAGCCCAAAGAAGGTAGATTTGGAGAGGACCATGCTCAGCAGCAAGAAGATAAAACAGAGCTACACAACTGGCTTAGTTATGAAAGAAGATTAAAGCAGCTGGGATAAGTTTAGGGGAGGGGATACAAAAGGGGAGCTCTGGTTCTTCAGTTAGAAGGTGTGATTTACCGATTTATGCTTGCTGCCCCAGGCTGCAGTGCAGAACAGAAGGCGTTCAGTTTTTCCCATGCTTCTGGGTTTTGCCAGTTGCTACATGGGGCTGGGAAATAATTTTTTGGGGGGACAGCACAACTGGAACCCTGATAGACTACTCCACCATTCACTCACCTGAAATCCCCCTCCAGCTTCTCCTGTTGCACCAATTTTGAAACAATGGGGCTCATCAGCATCTTGTTAACAACCGTCCCAATGACAAAATACCCAAAGATACTCACTGGGCCCAGCCAGCCGGTGCTAAGCGGGGAAAAGAAAAGAAGTTAGCTAGCCAACCAGGGGGAACTACGCTCCAGCACACTATAGTAGGGAAAGCAGTCAGGGCTACACAGCTATTTAAGGATGTGAACCTTAGTACACTCAGGCTGGGAACTATATCTCCAAGTATGGTCAAAGCCACCTCCATCACACTAGTGCCAGGAACTGCACATCCAATATGCTAGGGCCCAGACCAAGATCTGAGCAGTGAAGCACCCCAGAGAGTATGAAATGAGCTCCATCAGGCACTGTCTCCCAGTGAGAAGGTGCAGAGTACTTACCTGTGAAAGCACTGATAGGTGTAGTAGGCTAGTGTGAAGGGAGAGATGATGAGTTTGCTGGCCATGGAGCTGAGCTGTCTGCAGAACCTCTCCACATCCTGGCTGATTCGCTGGTCTCTGTTCAACAACAGAACAGTACTGACTCTTAAAGCCAATTAAAAAAACAAGAGCAAGATATAATAATAAATCCCCATGAGAACCAGCCAGTTCAGGTCATAGTTTCATAGTTGGTAGGGTCGGAAGGGACCTGAGCAGATCTTCAAGTCCGATCCCCTGCCA